ATTGATTTATTTTTTTTGGTACGAAAAATTGTGTTTGTAATAGAAAAACAATAATTTGTGTTGAATTGTTGATTTTTATGATTGAATAATATATACTTTCTTTGTCTCAAAATTATAGCTTGGATTGTGTTTGGTACGAGATTTAAGGAATATTGATATTATGTTGGTAATGGATAAAAAGTACGGGTAAAAAACTTTTTTTTGCCCTTATGAATGTATTAGTGTAAAAAGTAGTAGCAATTGTGTAATAATAATGGAAAAATAAATGTAGTTTTATAGTGATATGATTATTTATAGAAATGAGACTATTGATTTAAGACAGATAAAAATAGTAAATATGACTATTGTATTAAAACGGATGAAGTATATTATAATATATATTTATTTATTTATTTTTAATAAAGGGGTGTAATTAGTAGATAATTAAGAATGTATTAGTGAAAATAATTATCCTATAATATAAATAATTATAAATGAAAAATAAGATAATTAATTAATTTAATTAAAATAAAAAATACAAAATTTAAAATGAGATTAAAATGTTTAATCATTTTCCAAAAAATAAAAGTGATATGATATGTGAGACGGATAGAAACGACAACGTGGACATGATATCTGAGACGGAAAGAAACGACAACGTGGACATGATATCTGAGACGGAAGGAATAATAATTATGAAAAATTACTTTTATTGAAAAATGTTAGAGGGAACAGATGGATTATTTTGCAAATGAAAGATGTTTTTAAAAAGGTGCATTTTTATCCGAATATTCCAACGCCATATGAATAATTATGATACGATACGACAGGACGGGACACTGTCGCAAATCAATTCCATGTGAACCACTCACTGCACCTCTATCACAAAAATAATTAAAAATAATATATATATATATATATATATATATAGATGTTACTACTACTAGCAATATTTCTTAACCAACAGAGTATAATATCAAAAATAAAAAATAAAAATGCCTAGTCCATAAATATCAATGAAATTAGAGTCTCTGGAGCATAGAGACATGGACGTAATTGAAATCCATTCCATGCCTTAGCCTTATCCAATGTTTGTCCCACAAAATTGAAATTTTGCGGACACGTGTCAGAATCCTGCGGCTACAGTACTCTATCGCAGCCCTTGATTTTTCGCAAATAGACAAGTTAGAAAAATCTAGGAATATTACATAGAAACCAATGGGATAAATCTAGTGCCTTCTCTCTCTTTTTATTTTATTTTTATTTTATTTAAATGTATGAGTAAGAATAATCTGTAAATTAAGTTTGACAAGAACGATACTAAATGAATTATTTGTGACAAGACAAATTCAGAAAGTCCTTGAATTTTATTTATTATTTTTTTTTCCAATTTTTATGGAATGGTAATATTATCTTCATTTGTTCATTGAAATTTTCACTTCTAAATATATCCCATAAATAATTAGCGAAAATGAATTTGAAGAAATTACATAAATTACCCAATTTGTAGAGCTTTGTAAAATTCACGAATTAAAGATGAAGTTGATTGTGAAGAATTTGAGGTTTATACGAATCTGAGTGTTTGAGCATATTCACACACACACACACATATATATATATATATATACCAAGCCAAATTTTTTATAATTTTTTTAGCATTAAAAATATTAATGTTTATGTATTTATATACAATTTGCCCCCACCCCCAAAATTATCTAAATTCATATATAATTCTGTCGTTATTATTTATTAGCTAAATATTAAATAATTTATAACATTTTACCTCCGAAATTTAGATAATAATTTCGTCACTGTGTATATATATATATATATCATAAAATTACAAAATAGATCATTGGCATTTGCTTTGTCCCCCACCAACATTTTTATGTCATTTTAGTAAATTAAATAAAAAGGGATTTCATGTTTGTAACAACAACAATCAAACAACAAAATTTTAAAATAAATTGAGTACATAATCAATCTACTTACATCAATCAAATGGAGTATATGCTACACACTCCGCCCACATAATTTATTTTTATTTTCTATTTTCGTCTATCCCACATAATTTGTCTATTTTTTTAGAAATATAATTATATACTTTAATCTCATTTAAAATTTAAAATTTTATAATTTTTTTAATCTTAATTAAACTATTTAATTATCTTAATCTTAATTCACAATTACTTTTATTATATAATAATTATTTTTACTAATACATTTCTTAATTATTTATTAATTATATTTTACCTAAATTTCTGTATCTACGTAGGACGGAGGGAATAATTATTTCAAAATGATTTTAATAAACAGGCTATTAATATTATTGTTATTTTTTTAAATATTGTATTAAATACATATTTCTATCTTACAAAATATCATATCTACTACCAATCTTTTACTATTCTAAAATTTTCAAAACTCTTATATTAATATATAAAGCCTTAAGATTTGTGTTTATTTACTTGAGATTTTTTTTCCACAAATTTTACTATTCATATCTCCAAATTTTCCTTAAAAAAATATTATATGTAATATTAATCATTTTTCACTTACAATATTATATGGAATTATTATTTCACTTCATAGATATTTAAATAGATTATATATATAACTCTCAAATAAATAAATATGTGCAAAGAGAAACTTCTCTTGAATTCAAAAACATTATATGAAATGTCGATAAAAAGTGATTGAGTTGATGTAATAAGTGGATTTATGATTTTCGCAGTCGAATTTGTTACATAAGATTTTTTCGCATGACTTCGCCCAACGGATTAATTGTATGATATGTCAAATTGACCTTAAATTATAATCCTCACCGTTCTTACTGTTTTAACTATGCATGATAATAATCGTTGAATTTGCAAAATATTTATTGTTTCAGTAATATAAATATATTTTCATACTTTTAGATATGAATTTTAATTTTATGTGTATACAAAATAAAGCATCTTGTGTCTTTTATAGTATAAAAATACAAAGTATACATGATGTTTTACTATAAAAACAATAATATTTTTTTTTTACTACAAAAAAAAGAAAGTATATGACCAAAAGTTTAAAAGACAAAGGAAGTACTCTCTCCGTCCATAAACTAACGTCCTATTTTCCTATTTGGAATGTCCAACAATTATTGTCATCCTTCTAGTTTTATACACAAAATTTATTCTTTTATCCTTATTTTATTTACTCTTTCGTTTTCTATACACAAAATTAAGGGCAAATTTGTCATTTTATAACAAAAACCTTAATTGCCTAAAAATGCATGTAAATATCAAATAGGACATTAGAAAATGGACATAGGAAGTATTATTTTGGCTTTTACAAATATTTATATACATATATGTTGTATGACTGCGTAAAATACATATATACACACTTGTTGATAACAATTTATTATACTTCCTATGTTCAATTGAAAGTGTAAATTGTCTTTAATTTTAACTAATCTATCAATTATACACATAAGTACCAACATTTACTATTACTTTTTATTTAGAGAATGAGGGTGTGTTTATTTAGTTTTTAGTTTGAAGTATTTTTAGGTAAAGTACAAAGAATCGTGTTGATAATAATATTTTTATATTAAATTATTATTTATTTCGTAAAAGAATAAAATATGTATATTATATATTGTATGGACATGTGTCTTTGGTGTAGAATTGTGAAATGGAGATAGGATTATTAGATAATATTGTACAGAATTTTTTAAAAGTTGTGTAAGACTAGAGCTGGCAAAAACTGACCCGATACGAAATAATTGAGTTTGGGTCAAAGATTTTAACTCGATTATGTATACGGATTGACACGAACCCGACACGATAATAAACAGGTCGGGTTAGAGTTGAGGCTCTCAACTCGAACCCGACACGACAATCCGATTATAATATATTAATATTGATTAATATATTTACATATATATATATATATATAATAATCATAATTTAATAATTTTTTTATAAATTAATTTAAACTAAGTTCAATTTTATATAATTCAACATAATTTAAGCTCAAACGAATAAAAACTAATATAACACGACAACAAAATAAAAAATTATTTAATTTGAATCAAAAAATTAGACTTAATTATGTATACGGGTCAACAAGTCAACCCGAACTCGACACAATAATAAACAAGTTAACACGAATCCGACACGATAATAAATAGATCGGATTATAATTGAGTAATTTAACATATTTAAAGTATTCAATCCGATACAAATCGACGGCTGTATGCAAGACTATAAGAAATTTTACCTCAAATTTATAAAGTTGAGATAGTATTATAAACACATCTTGGCTACACTCGTCAGCAGCCACAAAAATGAGTTGGAAAAAACAAACAAGAAATCCTATCTACAAAATAATTTTAATTTTAAACACGTGCGGTGTAAACATTATTGCACGAAGACTGTGGGTCCCCACCACGCGGCAACTCGACGACGATACCCATCTTTCTGGATGAATGATTTTCTATAGGGGCAACACCTACTAAAAACTCCAGGGATCCCAACACCCGCACTGTCAAAGAACGGTGTTCATCAATCCGGTGCTCCGGCTCCCGGTCCCTCTATTTAAATCACCCTCTCGAACCCTCCATGCTAACCCTAGATCATAACTAAAATAAAATCACAAGTTCATTCTCCCTCAAATATACATTTTATTTTATTTTATTTTATGTTAGTGTAAATACAAGAATTTCGAAAATATATAATTAATAAATAATTAAAAATATATTAATAAAAATAATTATCATATAATAAAAATAATTTTAAATTAAAATGAAAAGAATTAAATAATATAATTAAAATTAAAAAAATATATAAATTACAATTTTTAAAATAATATTAACGTATATATTTTTTTTTTCAAAAAAATACAGAAAAAATAAACAAACAAAAATAAAAAGATAAATAAAGAAAATAATAATAAAAAAATTCAAAAGTGGGACCCACAAACCTGCTTCGATCCTCCGCATAAATACAGGCTTCGGCTCATGCAAATCTCCCACTCCAAAATCACTTCTTTACCCTTCGTCTCCGCTTAGTTTCCTTTCCTCGTACCCTCTGCAACAAATATATAGATATATATATATATAATTTCTTCTTCCTTCCTGAGATTTCGGAATTTCATTTCTGTATAATTTAAGCCGTTAATTCGATGAATATAAAAAAAACCTTGAACTCCCCAAAAATCTGCTAATTTGTACGTAATTTCAGTTTTCAGTTCGTACGTCGTAAAAATTAAGGTATGCCGGTCGTCGCTACCCGCGTAGAAACTGCCGCCGATCCACAGGCGCTCGCCAACGGCGGCGCCGGCTGGTCGCCGGCCGACTCCGCGGCGCTGTACAAAATCGACGGCTGGGGCGCGCCGTACTTCTCCGTCAACTCTAACGGCAACGTCGCCGTCCGTCCTCACGGCGTCGATACAAAACCCCACCAAGAAATCGACCTCCTCAAAGTCGTCAAAAAAGCCGCCGGTCCGAAAACCTCCGGCGGGCTCGGGCTCCGGCTTCCGGTCCTCGTCCGGTTCCCCGACGTCCTCAAAAACCGGCTGACATCTCTCCAATCCTCGTTCGACCTCGAAATTGAATCTCAGGGCTACGCCGGACGTTACCAGGGCGTTTATCCGGTGAAATGCAACCAAGACAAGTACGTCGTACAAGACATCGTCAGGTTCGGGTCGGGTTTCCGGTTCGGACTCGAGGCCGGATCCAAACCCGAGCTCCTGCTCGCAATGACCGCCCTCTGCCATGGCAGCTCCGACGCGCTCCTCGTCTGCAACGGATTCAAAGACGCCGAGTACATCTTCCTCGCCCTAACCGCCGCCGGAACCCTAAAATTGAACGCCGTGATAGTCCTCGAGCAAGAGGACGAGCTCGACGTCGTGATCCGCCTGAGCAACAAGCTTCGAGTCCGTCCGGTCATCGGCGTCCGGGCGAAGCTCCGGACGAAACATTCCGGCCACTTCGGCTCCACCTCCGGCGAGAACGGAAAATTCGGACTCACGGCGGCGCAAATCCTCCGCGTGGTGAAGAAATTAGGGCAAAATCAAATGCTCGACTGCCTCCAGCTGCTACATTTCCACATCGGATCTCAAATCCCGACGACTGCTCTGCTCGCCGACGGCGTCGCCGAAGCCGCCCAAATTTACTGCGAATTAGTCCGCCTCGGCGCCTCCATGGCCGTCCTCGACGTCGGCGGCGGCCTCGGAATCGACTACGACGGATCCAACTCGGCGAATTCCGACGTCTCCGTCAGCTACACTCTGCAAGAGTACGCCGCCGCCGTCGTCCGGTCAGTCCAGACGGTCTGCAACCGCCGCGGCGTGAAGCATCCAGTCCTCTGCAGCGAGAGCGGCCGAGCAATCGTCTCTCACCACTCCATTTTAGTGTTCGAAGCTTTTTCATCGACGCCTACTCACGATCCGCCGCCGATCGAACTCAAAAACATCGCCGATCAATTTTTTGGCGACGATGCAGTTGCAGATTTCAACACAGAGAGGCTGAAAGAGAACTGCATCGAGCAGTTCAGGCAGGGTACTCTGCCATTGGAGCACCTCGCCGCCGTCGACGGACTCTGCGAATCGGCCGCAGCCGGCGACGCCAATACTTGCCATATCACTACATACAATGTCAATCTCTCGATTTTTTCGTCGATTCCGGACTTCTGGGGGATAGGGCAGCTATTTCCGATGGTTCCGATCCACCGGCTGGACGAGAGGCCGACGAGAAGGGGGATTTTATCAGACCTGACTTGCGACAGCGACGGGAAGATCGATAAGTTCATTGGCAAGGGGGAGAACAGGGACAGCTTGCCTCTACACAATTTGGAAAGCAATTGTAATTATTATTACATAGGGATGTTTGTAGGGGGGGCTTATCAAGAGGCATTGGGAGGATTCCATAACTTGTTCGGGCGGGCGAGCGTTGTGCGTGTGTCGCAGAGCGACGGCCCGCATGGATTTGCGGTGACACACGTGGCGCCGGGGGCATCATGTGGGGAAGTGCTCCGATTGATGCGGCACGAGCCGGAGGAGATGTTCGAGACGCTTAGGGAGCGTATGAATATGAATATGAAGGATAATAAGGAAAAAGATGTTGTAGATGGCATTGCTCGTAGTTTTAACAACATGCCTTATTTGGGGACATGGGATTGGGATTGGGATTTGAATGAAGAAGAAGAAGAAGAGGAGGAGATAGAGGATTGGGATGAAGAGGAATGGGCTTATTGTTGAGGGATGGATTTGGGATTGTTATTGTTATTGTTGTATGGAGAATGGATGTACTACTTTATTAATCTCTAATTCTATGTCTTAGCTTTTGTTATTATTCAATATTATCCCATATTGGTAGACACGTAGGATCTCTAAGGATGAAGAATTACTCTACTATCATCGATTGATTTTAGATTTGGGATTTATTTGAATCAAAGCCTATAGGAATAGTACATATTGATGGAGTAGATGTTGCGTTTGGTGCATGGGCATGGCTGTTTCTGTTCCTGGTCATGACAAAGATTGGGCTTAGGTGGTGTCGTGTATAGCCCGCAATAGGAGATGTGTTACCTAGTAGTAATATTATTTATTTATTTTTATTTTTTTTTATAACGTTGTAATCCATAGCAGTTAGTCGAAAATGCGCATTGGATAAATCCCGACTGAACCTAATACCTTGCAAATTAAGCTCAACAGGCAAGTCACACTAGGCCAACTATACGTGACAGATGACCTAAGGCGGCATAGGGATTTGAACAATGACCTGACCTAAGGCGGCATAGGGATTTGAACAATGACCTCAAGGTCATACATCCAACCTCACCTAATCAAATTATTAAATATTACTCTCTCCGTAATATGAGTGTATTACTGTAGATACGGGAATTTAAGTAAAGTATAATTAGTAAGTAATTAAAAAGTGTATTAATAAAAATAATTATAGATTAAGATTAAAATAAATAAATATTTTAATTAAAATTAAAAAAATTATAAAATTTAAAATTTAAAATGCAATTAAAATGCATAATTATATTTCCAGAAATAGAAAGGACAAGTTATATGGAACAAACGAAAATAAAAAATAAGGACAAATTATTTGAGACGGAGAAAGTATCTGTTTTCACTAAAAATGCCTTCCAGTTTTAAATATATCTCACTTTAAATTAATTATTAATACAAAATTCATTCATTTAGCATTTTAAATCAGCCAAACGTTACATGCATACACAGAGACCAAAGTATTATAACTCGTTTTGAAATGAAATTATATATTTGAACTATTTTAATAAATAACTAGGACCATACTAGAGTACATAAGAATATAAACAGAATTCAATTATCTTCAATTTTAGTATTATCATGTTAAATTTCAATCACAAATGAGATAGAGAGACAGAAACAGAACAATGCCAAGCAAGGAAAAGGAGCAGAGGATTTTCTGCATTATTATTAGCATTCCATTGCAGAAAGGTTGGTTGGTCAATGAAAATAGATCCATCCATCAAGCAATCTCACACAACATAATAATGTCGAAAACTCCTGTAAACAATTGTCGATTTGGAGAGTCGAATGCTCTCAATGTTCAAGGCAAAACCAAAAGGCAAGTTTACAACAGATCGAACGAACCTCATCGCACGCCAGCAAGCAGTAGTTCATCACTTCTCGCTCCTATTTTTGTTCTATTAGCAGCAGCGTTCTGCATCACCACAATTTTTCAGAATTATGGATTAGTAAAACATCGGCACATTTGTGTGTGAGCACATAGAACTTGGAGAGGAATGGGCAAAAGCTCAAATGGAAACATGAGGTGATAATACATTTATGAGAAATCAACACTTGTGGATACAAACCAAAAAACTTAATACTCCCACAGTCATCAAAATATATGCTCGTATTTTTGGGAATAAATTTTAATGTAAATGAGTAATAATTTATACTTTTTACCTCTTATGGTAAATATATATATAAAGACAAAAGTAGATGTACCTTTTTACTATAAAGAGAATGAGGATATTTTTTTTATAACAAAAAAAAATGAACATAAAATTTGAACGATAGAAGAATATTTAGGTTTCCCTGAAGGTTGAAACCATATGAGAGAGTTGTTGATCCACCCTAATTTTTCTTAGGTTGTGTTTTGTTGGGATTTCTCCAAGATTGTCATTATTTACCAGTTTTTGCTCCAAAAAGATCAAATAAAACTACTATTTTTAATTTTTTATATTATACTAAAAATTAATTTTAATAAATATTGTAATAAAAGAGTCAAAATTACAAGAATTACTAACCTTCATTTACTTTCAAGGATCTCACCGTCTTCACGGCCATAGTCATATATTATCTCAATCTGTAACAAAACCACGCAATCAGGTGTATACAAGCAGATACTCCCAATACATGGGATGCAATTGTGCAATAACATTATAAAGCATATAAATAAGATTGCTTCCAGTTCCAGAAGATATTCAGAAAATTTCTACAGATAGAAGATTTGAAAAATAGAGAGAGGGTTGTCCACATCTAAGAAATTTATCCAAAATTCCATGCAGCAGATGCAAAATCAAAGAAACAAAATGAGATTCTCATAACCAGATTTGAAGAAAATTGAATGCTGAAGGATTCATAGAACATAAGTCACATAAGTTGTCAATAACTTACCCCAGATGGTGGCGCTGGGTTTCGGCAAAATTTAGAACCGCCAGGAGCCCAAGGAACTGTTTACAGAATACGAATATGAGCACTCAAATATTGTTGCAAATTGATCAGAAGTACAACATTATTAAGTGTACAAATTGTTTTCAATGATTATAGTACGAGAAGATCAGCATGCATGCTTAGGTTGTACAAAAATAAGATCTAAATGATGGATATAACAGGACAGGCTGCATCATGGATGTTACACACCACACATTTAGATATACATGTTCAATTTTATAAATAATTAGACAAGAGTTACCATTCAAGTTCAATTATTATAAAATATAAATAAACATAAAGACAGTAAAATATAACATGTACCTATCAGTCTGAAAAAAAAAAAAAAAAAAAAAAAAGAAAGAAAGAGAGATTTTTTTATCACAGAAAGAATTGAGTGTTTCATCATAAGGTACAGGAATTACCAAGTAGAAATATCGAAAGAATCACCACATTGCTTCTAGTCACTACAGTTAAGGAAGGCTTCCTTCTGGAATCTCAAGCTATTTCTCAACTAGTTAAATGGGATTAACCACTTACTTAGATCTGGAATCAAATTTTCATAATGCTATGACTCAATAAAATCATTCTTGCACGGAACCTAGATAGCAAAGAGACAATGAAAACTAAACATTGCTTCAGAAAAAAAAAGGTAGCTTAACATCATGCCGCTAACACATAAAAATCCACCATAATGAGCATTATTAGACATCAAACTTATTTGAATAAGTTCTTTGCGCTTTGGAAAGCAGGTATATTAAAACATACCGATGTAAGGATCGGGGTGACGAAATTTATTGTACTCTGCTTCAGAAACAGCAATCATTCTGTCAATAAGCTCAATATCCTCCTGGGAAACCATACAAAGAAACAATATAAGACTCATTTTACACCATACATATATTTCTTCCTCTGATGAGTGGGGAATCTAGTGCAAATTCTTCAGTTCAAATATCTATGCCCGTAGTCACCATCATTCTCTATCAACTGAAACCAAAACCACCAAACTGTTGAACAGGTTACTACTTTCTCAGGTGATTTCATTGCAATGTCCAGTTAATAGATGAACAATAAAACCAAATTGCACCGCAAGATTTCACACAGATTTCACAATTCACGCGTAGGATTTAATTCAGCACCTAAAAAACCAAGTAAATAAACTATCAATCATGGTGAAGAAAAAAAAAAAAGGATTTTTCGGTCAACAGCTCCTTCCTATCATTTCTGATCAACTAATTCAGCGGAATTCAGTTTTCACTCAATTTGATCGAAATAAGCATCACATCGCTCCCTCTCGATGTTAATCAAGAAATCCAAAAAGAATATGAAAGAAAAAAAACAAACAAACAAAAAAACGGAGAAGAAAACAAACCACGTGTCTGTTGGCCTCAAACCTCTCCCTGAGTTCATCCGCCTGAGGAATACATAGAAATTACTGAGAAATCCGTCCATAACGTAATCAATCCAACCATCACTAAATTGGCATTAAAAATCGAGATCCAACGAAAGTAGAGGAACCCTAGAAAAGAAGAGAAAGGAAAAGGTACATCAGGGTAGAAGATGTGGCGATGGACGGCGTAATTGAGAGTGTCCTTGAGTGCTCGCCGGTAAAGGATCCTAACCTTCTCCTTCTGCGCCGCTCGCCGAGCCAAATACGACGCCGTAGCCAAGCTCATTTCTCCCTTCACTCTCTGCGATCTCCGCTGCTGTCGTTTCACTTCGACTAAATTCACCGACCAAGAATGTTTAAGGTCTTTCTACACGGCGTCGTATTAAATTGGGCCTTCTAAAAATAAAGCCCGTATAAAATTAAAAGGCCCATAAACATTAATAGAAAGTATCTTGTGATTGTAGTAATTAGTTATCGGTTTGAAGCATGACCACGATCACGGGTTCACCTATATAATAATATTATTCGTTTTTTAAAGCTTTTTTAGCTGTCTTACTATTTAATCAATTTAAAAAAGGAAAAAAAAAATCATAAAACTTGCAACATAGAATGGCGAAATTGGAAAAGATGAGGCAAAACAACAAAGGTACAAAGAAGTCAAGAAACCAATGGATGGGTCAAAAATTCAAATCTACTATTTTGCAATACCACCGACTATTAGCATAACATCATCACTCACACTAAATGAAGCGACAAACCAAATTAATCAAAATCATCGAGTGAAAATAAAAACCTCACAAAACCAAACCACAAGTTCGTTCATCAATCAGATTTGATCATCAATCAAATTCAAATCAATATATGACCCTAAAATATCTGAATAATTCTGATTTCATTGTTACAACACCTCTCTCTCAATATCAGATGAGGGGATGCCATGCTGTCACTTCCACCGGAAGGATCTCCGGCTGAGCCGCAGAGGGCCGGCGAAGCTAAGTCCGAGCATTTCCTTGAGCGCCTGTCTGTGCTCCGAGAGACCGGTAAGCTCAGCAACAATGGCGGCGCTCTTCGTTACGTGTTCCATGCTCGAGGTGTCGCTCCATAATCGATTAGCCAGCTGCAACTTCCTTTGTTTCGAGTTCACGCCGATGCCCCACTCCTCGTAAATCCTGTTTCTTTCTTCTTCGCTGTACCTTTTATGCATGAGCCTGCAGAGCATTGTTCTCTCCCGGCGTAGAGCTTTCTTGCTGTCGATCCAATAAAAGCATAGTGTTACTTTTAGATATGCGTACGTATATATGACCAAAGCGCCTCTGTAAAACGTATTGATTAGGACAAGACCTTGATGCCAGTGTGAGAGTGGTGCCATTATGGATGGCGGATTTGCCATTGCCGAATGTTTCCTTGAGATAGGACAGGCGTCGATGTTCCACCTCGACGTAAATGGAATCTGTGTAGTCATCTTTAATAAGAAAGACAAAGTATGTCCTGTGGATCAATGAAACATTGCAAGCTTGCCACAATTCAATTATCGATTTCTGCAGCTTCGCGAATTTCGTCGGCCAATTGTTGATTGCGTCTGAGCTGAAATCTCCGGGTTTCTTTTCCCCTGCGCCTTCTATGTGCTGAACCTAAGAACAGAAACCGGAGGATCGATTAAAAGGAGAGTGTAAAACAGCTTTATCAACAAATAATCCTAGTACCTGATCGTCAGACTGATCGCCGTACTGTTGTTTCGCCATTTCCTTGAGTCCTGCTACAAATGACCCGAGAGTGGGAATGTCCTCATCCCCATGGCTGGAGACTTGACTCTGTGTTTCGTCCAAATAACTGCTACAATCGGAAGAGATAGAGTTACTTCTGGACAGTGTCGCACCATCAGCACCATATAATACCGGAGGACGTCGCCATTGCTTCCTTTGGAAAATGCCTTCTGGTCTTCCAGAGTAGTCTTTCTCCAACACAGTTGGGGGTGTGCTTTCGCTTTGTTCAGACATCTCAAAGTCGGGTGAATCGGTCATTAGATTAGTTCTGCAGCTTCTACTTCTTGTTAAGCATGAGCTTCCAGAATCTGATATGTTAGTTGATGAGGCCTCGGGAGAAGATACCTCGGAGTGAGGTCTGAAAGGAGAATCAATCATCTTCTCTGCTCCTTGAAGTTTCTGTTCTGAGATGCTGCGAGAGTAACCGCCGTTAATGGCAGGAACTTGTCTAGGTAAAGCTGATAACCCTTGCTGATCGATAATAAGCCGATTTTGTGGCTGAGAAAGCATTGGCATGCTTTCTTCACTCTCACTAGCAGGCTCGCCGATAGTTCCATTTGTTCTTCCCTCATCAGATTTGTCCATCTCAATGCATCGAACTTCTTTGCAGATTTCATCAGAATCCTCCTCCTGTTCGATTCCGGTAACAGAGCTCCCCATCCCTTGGGTTTGATGAGATACATCTGATGAAAAATCCTCACTCTGTAGGGGTGAAGCTCCATTAACAGGTCGAATATCATTATTTTTGGGGGGAGCTTTATTACTTTCAATAGCTCGAAGCAAATCATCGATCCGAGAATGAGCAAGATCCCTCTGCTTCTTCAACTCCCTAACCTCTTTCTCCAACTGCAGATTGTTTTATAAGGAACACGTCGTACAAGATTAGTGTAATCTGGCAATCTCAAAAGGAGAATATAATCATAGACAGATCTATAAAAATAAACCTATAAAATACTCTAGGGCATGGTAATAATGGTATCATAAAATACTAAACTTTTTAACACCATAAAAAGGGAAAAATATGAACAAACAAACAAACAAGTGTATGAAAACAGAAATGAGGGAGGTAGAGAGTCCGAACCTTTTCTATTTGCGTATCTTTCTTTCTTAGCAATGGCCCATGGTCGCACATTGATCCTGGAGTTTTCAACTCATTTTCCAGCCTCGCAACCTCTTTCTGCAGATGCTTTACCAGTGCCTTATCAGACATTACTACGTTGACCTGGGCATTAGTTGATACTTCCTTTGCGCAAGTAGCAAATAGAAGGGTATTCCGTGATTGCTCGACGTGACTTCTGGCAGGGCTCAATGTGCAAATGATAGCAGTCCTGGCATTGCCTCCCAGGGCAGGTTGCAGTATACGAGTAAGTTTTGAGTCTCTGTAATTGATATGCCCTTGTCTTCCTTTGCTGCATGAATTAGAGGAGCAAACATTTAGTAACAGATGGCATGCAATGCCACAAAACGCATGCTATTCTAGTAATTACTTACAAACTTATATAAGACATTTATATATTCCAAGAGGGGTACTGAGAGCAGTCATCCTCATGCAATGATACGACATCACACATCGATTTCTTGACAATTAAGATTGAATCAGTGGTGAAAAAATTCTAACAAGACTAGTGATTTCAATTCTACGGCTTTAAAATACTACTATAAGCGATCAAACACATGAAGTCAATTTAATATGTAATTCAAAGTGTGAGAAAGTCATCCACTTGCAGAAACACGCAAAGACCATTAGAGACTCGATATGATCCTCCAGTAACAAATAAATCAAGCTGAAAACAATATAGTGGAGCATTCTAACAAGGAGTCTAGTGATCCCAATACTACAAGTAGACAATACTAGTATAATCAATGAAACACGCTTAGTCAATTCTATATGCTATTCAGAAAGATTCTACTTTCTCCAAAGTGAATCAAAGGCTCAATGAGGGGTGAAAGGTGTAACCGTGTAAGCAATGACAACTGGGGAATTGTTTGAAGCAATGCTATCTTGAGGTGAAAATTTATGAAACTCAATGAATTGATAACAAGACCTAAATTTTGATCTAGGATAGGAAGGATGTAACAAGAGATGTCAAGATCAGAATTGACCTACCTAAGTTTGCGAATAACAGTTCCCAAAGTCAGTAAACTACGGTTTATGTGGCAGCCTTCTTTCAGTCTCTGACCCACTGACAATGCTTGAGATGCTCGCTCACTTCCTGCCAGGTCAACAAAATTCTACAAGAAAAGATGAATATCTTTACTGAACAATTTTTTCCTTACACTCTTGAAATTAATAGCATATATAGCAGGAGTAAAGAGTGTACTCTACCACACTAGCAGCGAGGGTGGTTGAGTTGCCCTTCCCAATAAACTCACGAGCTGAACTCTCAATTGTCTGAAGAAATCATGGAAACTATGGGACTTCAAAATTTCATAGAAGTTATAGAGCAAGAAGAGTGACTGCAAAAGAGCTTGTGGTGGGAACTAACCAATCTCAGGATCTGATGTGATCTGGAACTTGTTTCATTTAATGACGTCTCCCCAATTTTTCTTTGTGCTGTTATAAACTTTGCATAAGTGATCAGAGAAGTGGGATGTGCTAGGATATATGAACAATCGAACTTTAGACTAAATAATAAGAAACCTGTCTAACCTTCGCATATGGACAATAACTCCTTGAGGTGATCCCAGTCCCTTAAAGTTTCTTCGGTGAGTTTCTCAATAATAGTCCCTTTCTACAGAATAACAAAAGCAAAATAAGTAAAAAGGTAAATGATGGAGGTGCAAGAGAAATTAACTAACAAGACGCACTTCTGGATCATCAAGGAGTCGTAGTGGAGTGTTATCCTTGCTAAGCAAATCTCTGACAACTTCATTATAAATCTCTGTTGCGGAAAACTTCAAAACAAATGCTCTTTCTTCATGCTGCAATAGAATAATAATAAACATTATATTCAATAGTTCAACGTATTATTTGGCATGGATGTCGAAGGACAAAAATGCATAATGTCCAAAAGAACTTTGCACCCTAAGTAGGTTGTTGCAAAGTAAAAATGTCATACCTTCTGTATGTAATCATAAATATCAGCTACTGTGTACTCAGTAATACCATTCATGGTATATGTTTTACCGCTGCTTGTTTGACCATAAGCAAACACAGTTGCTGTTTCCAAAAAATTTCAAGAACCGGTTCAAACCATTAGCTTGTCACAATATATGAACCAAAAGTATACTGCACATGACCAAATAGAGCAACTTCACTATTCTCAACTTACAATTGATGCCACCCACAACTGAGAGAGCTATATCTTTGATTCCATCATCATAAACTTCCCTTGTGCTGCTATCACCTCTAAATACTCTATCTGCACATATAATGTGAAAAGAAGACATGAAATTAAATAATAAAAATCTTTCACTCTGAAGCCATATACTTATTTTTATATCCTAGAGAAGAACTTGCAATTAAAACACTTTGATATGACAGACTTTCATGTTTATATTTTTGGTGAGAATTTTACAACTACATTGTCCAGGTAGAGGGACCTATATATACTTTTTGCATGCATCATAATCCAAAATATTGTTGTTGATGTTGAATAGAATCCAAAGCCAACATACTCTGGGAAATGAGAAAAAAATTTTAAATGCATACTTGAATATGTTAAAGGAATCACTTAGTATAACACAACAAAGATGTGTCTATCGTTATTAAAATATCCTCAAGTCAAATAATCATCAAATCTATGGATATATTATTTAACTTGCTCCACCTACCAAATGAATAAGCAGTGGGAAGTCCAGTGCGCTCCTGGAGGCTGTTCCGGTACAAAATTGTGGTTGAGTTGATGCATTCCCAATCAGCAACTTCATTTAGTGCAATCTCCTTATCACTCAAGGGCCTTAGTCTCACCAACACCAAAATCTTCTCTTCCATTTCATTCCCCATACCTGGAGGCTTCTCCCAACTCATCAAGTCTTCTGCCCCAATCGATCCCATTTGCTACCCCGTCCCAAAAAGCCACAAAAAAGGTGACACACACACACACTCTTCAGCCAGACCTACACCTACATTAGAGATGAAATTACTTGCAACTAAAACTCCTTGAAAAGACCAATAAAATAACCAACACTAAACTATTCAATGGGCCAGCGATGGTAGCCAGACAAAGCAATATAGTTAGTGTAGTGAACAACAGCGTGGTTGTGCCTTCCAACAGGAATGGAATGCCACAGCACCCCAACTCATTGTTGATCTGCAAGGAAGAAAGACAATTATAGAAGGCCTTAACCAACTAATATTTTAATGTTTAAGCTAAACTGGAATGATTGACGGTTGGTTGTGATTAATCAGTTTGCTTAATGTTTGTCTCCAAACCTCTCTTCCAACAGAAACCTGAAATTACATTTCTATGACAGGGTCCAGCAAAAAATTTAAATAAATCAACGTTAGATAACTTTGCTTAATGGGGACCCCAACTATGCTTCAAGTCCAAGTAATTATTCTATTTGACAAATTTCTCAAATTTTTCCCAAAATCACCGGGGAGAAGTGGACCCCCAATACTTCACACGGAGATTACCTGCCAGTGCATACATTGATAGACAAAGCATATATCATTTATTCCGTGGAGATCGAAAGACAAAAACCTTCTATAATGTTTGCTATTGAAAAGACTTCGGATAAAAAAAATTTACTGAATTGAAAGGAGGTGTTCGCACCACGCGTTAGGCGAAAATACATCAGAATCTTCGGGTAGTTTTGTTGACTGAATTTTTATTTTTATTTTCTGAAAAGAAAACACTTAATCTCCCGGAAACGCAGGATTTGATCAATAGATCGTAAACAAAAAACTTCGATTAAGCGCCGGACGTGGAAATCTAGATAAAACAATTGAGCACCAGGTTCCCTAGTTAATCGACACATACTCAAGCTTTATCCTGTATTTACTAATCCACCAAAAACAATTTTACACCAAAAAAAGCACCGAACCAAATATCATCATTTCAAAAGGGAAAAAAAAGGCTTCAGGCGTGACCTTCAAGATTAAACACTACGCCTTGATTCTACTCAGCCAAATACACCCACTTTACGCATCCGATAAAGCTACTATAACACATGCCAAAGCAGCTACAACCTAAAAGACGACGAAGTGAAATTTCAAACAAATACCAAATGAAACAGTGCAAACCGGCGACAAATCTCACAACTTACCACCGCATCGCAAATTGATCAAGCCTTAATCATCCCAACCTAATTTCCACAAACTCTTCAGCAGCATTATCAGCAACTTCCTCGCTTCCTCCGTCCCCCCCTCTCTCTCTCTCCCGCCCCTCCGTCCCTCTCTCTCTCTCTCTCTCTCTCTCCCTTCACAGTCAGCTGAGAACGAAGTTTGAACCGTGGAGACGTGTGTGAACGTTATATATATGTAAATGCGTTGCACTCCACGAAGGGAAGGAGCCCGGAGGCGAAAAGACCAATATGCCCCTCCCCTTTCGTGGAAAAGCCTGGTTGAGAAGCACGTGCCCACGTGACCGTCGTCGGTGCAATGAATTGGAACTTCACAGGAAATCTTCCATCAGAAAATTGTTGTTTGGGCGAATAAAGGAAAACCACAATAGTTTCAAATACATCAAAAATAAAATTTAATTTATTTTTTAATCCTAATGATCTCTCTACATTCATAAATCAATAATCAGATATTTCCAATTTATTAATCTCACAGCATGGGATCTATTTAATTAATTAATTTCCCAATTGTATGGTATTTTTTTTTTGGTAACTATTTAATTAAATTTTACTTATTACTGTATTTGGATGTGGGTTTGGGATTGTGGCGTCGCATTAAATTGAGATCGGAAACAAAGGCGTGAAGGGAATCAATGGCTACAACGGGAGCACTGCACCACTTACTTTACCGTTGGGTGGGCCCCACATGAGGGGTGACCACCTGGCACCACGCGCTCCACCCCGGGCTTCTCACCACGCGCCTAATCTAAACATTTTAATAAAGGTATGTTTGTTTTATATATTTGAGTGCAAATTTTAATTTTGTTTAGTTTTAATAAATTTAAATATTATTATTATTATTATTATTATTAATGTGTACGGTGAATAGTACCATTTTTGTAATTAATTTTTTATTTTTATCATCTTAATTATTTGTCTAGATTATTTTATAAGTGGGATCTGTTTGTATTTTGCCGTTATATATTTCTCTTAAATAAATAGTTTTTCATATATTTTAATTGATTTTACTTTTTATAATTTAATTTATGTCAATTATATATAGTAGCTACTTTTTTATTATATAAGATTTTTATCTATTACATTCATATTAAATATAGGGAAATGTTCGTTAATAAATCAAAATATATTTAAATTTATTTTAATCAAGTATATATTAAATAATATTCATTTGCGATCTATTATAAATACGAAAATTTAAAAAATTTAGAGAAATATGATTAGTAAACAATTAAAATTTTATTAATAAAATTATTATAAATTTAAAAATAAAAAATATGATTAGAATGTATACTTTTTTTTAAAAAAAAAAAGTAATACTATCTCCGTCCGGCAACAAAGACATCATTTATTTTTTATAACTATATTTTTTAATATTACTATTATATTGGTTTGTACTAAAAATGACAAAAATGTCTCTATTAGTATGTTGTAATATAAAAGTAATAGCATTTGTGTAATACTCCCTCCGTCCAGCTAGAAAGTATACATGTTTCTATTTTGGGACGTCCAATTACAAAGTAAACATTTCATTAAATACCTTATTTTTTCCACAAATACTCATATTTTACATCACATCATTACTTTTACACCAAAAAACAAGGGCAAAAATGTCATTACACTACTTTTAACTACCCACTATAATTAAAATACTATTATTTCTTAAACACAGCGTCAAAAGTAATTGTATACTTTTTTTGTGGACGGAGGGAGTATATTATAAATTATAAGGATATTTATTAGCTTAGGTAGGTAGTACAACTACTAAATTAGAAAATAATACCCTTATTTTGAGACGAATAAAAGTAAAAAATTGTATTTTTTTTATGGGACGGATGTAATATAAGATGTAAAACAAACAAAAATAAAAACAAAAACCGTTACATGATAGTCGAAACATACTATATGAGACGGAGGGAGTAATTTAATTTTAACAATTTTTTTTTTTTTATTTTGTAAAATTTTACTTTCAACTACATCTCACAATATTGATTTGTTGACCTAACAATTTTCTTTTGAGACTATTTTTTATTTAATATTATCAAAACATGTAAGATATATATAAGAGAGATATATTAATTCAGTATATGCAATAGATTATATCAATTTATAAAAAAATTAATAATTTAATATGAAATAATATATATATTTTTTTATATAATACTCATACATTTCGTCTAAAATTTCCAACATACAATTACATTATTATCTTTTAAGAAATGCTCCATTTTTAGTCCATACACATTACCATATATAACGTACTCCCCCGTCCAATTTCTATTGTCCTGAAGTATATTTGCACGATTTTTTAGGTGATTGTCTTTATGTTATGAATTGACAAATTTGTCCTTCATTGTATGGTAGAGATTAAAAGTAATAAATAAATGAAGGGTAAAAATATAAAATTTGTGTTTAAAAAAGGAAATAGGACAATAGTTTTTAGACGTCCTAAATAAAAAAATAGGACATTAGTTTGTGGACGAAGGGAGTATTAATTTTATGACGAATAAAAATATAAATATATACAAAGTAGACTACAAAAATTAAAGTATATAAATACATGAATGTTCAATAAGTGTCACATTAAATACCATGAAATTAATTATAGTATGGTAGTATAATTTAAAATTTGTTGGGAATATTTAATGTGACACTTAGATACTCATATATATATAAATAAATATATATATATATATATTTCAACTATATATTTGCTGATTTTTTATTTTTTTATTTTTTTTGTATTGGGCGATGAAGATAAAAGTAGTTGGCTATGGTGGTGGGACAATTGAATGGGAATATAATGTAGCATCAAATTTAATTAACTTATTCATTTGTCTTCCTAAGTATATTTAATATTGATAATTAGTTATCAATTATTTTATAATTGTAAGTCATAAAAATTCTATGCTGTATTATTAAAAACAATAATAATATTTTTATTCTATTTAGTTTTCTGTTATAAATATGAAATAAAATAAAATACTGCACCTAATAATATATGTTTCGTCTCATATCTATCAAACGTTAGGAATTGGTCATCTAATAAATATGTCCTGCTCGGCTACTCCAACTATTTAATATTCAAATTATTTCCATACATATATACGGGGAAAATTGCAAAAAATATCTCACATATACCTCATTATCACTTTTATTCTGTATTTATTTATTTTGACAAAATATATCCCACATGTTTTCAAAAGTCGTTATTTCTATCATTTGACCGTGTGCGTGGCCGCGCGTGGTGTGAATTTCATGCGCGAGAAAAGGACATAAATAATAACTTTTGTAAACATGTGGAATATATTTTGCCAAAAAAATAAATATAGGATAAAAGTGATAATAACGTATAAATATGGTATATTTTGCAATTTACTGCATATATATGGCCAATGTGAATTAAAAAGTAAATTGGTAACTTCAATTAATTATTTGAATAAAGTGATTGAGAATAACATGAATTTAGGGAAGGGTGATTGATAATAATAGGAGACTAGAAAGTAACATGGTGAAATGATGACTTTCAAACCTACCCAGGCAAATAAAATTAAATTATGGTGTCACCGTGATCTCACGATCATAAGTTCAACTCCTATATTTACTCCACCAGGTCATTTTTTTAGGGGACCTAACATTTTGAATTTTTGATAGTATTATTTATGGTGTGTTTATTTTGTGAAATAGTTTGATTTTTTTTTTTTTTAAATGTGAAATAATAAAAATTGTAATTAAAATACTCCTTCCGTCCCATTGAAAGAGTGACATTTGCTTTTTGCACGTAATTTTTAAATATTAGTATTATATTGGATTGTAGTAAAAAAGGCAAAATACTCCTATTAGTATAGTGTAATATAAAAATAATGACATTTGTTTAATATATTGTAAGGGTGTGTTTGTTTGGGGGTTTGGATTTTGAGTTGGGATTTGAATAGTTGTATGATGTTATATAAATAGGTGTTGATGTGATATTTTGAATGTAAAATTGATTTTTAGTATAATACAAAAAATAAAAAATAGGTGTTTGATTTGATGTGTTTGGAGGAAAAATTTTGGATGAATAGTAGGAGTTTATCAAAATCCTACAAACAAACACATCATAAGTTAAAAGGGTATTTATTATGTTAAGTAGTAGTACACTTACTAAATTAAAAAATGGTAACCTTGTTTTGGGACGGACGAAAATAAAAAATGATAACATTTCAATAGGACGGAGAAAATATAAAAATAATAAATATATATAATATATTTGTTTTGAAAAATTATGTAAGACTTTTTTTTATTAAAAGAACATGGGACATTATATCATCAAAAATTTATTTCAATTTAAAAAAATAATTATTTAAAATTCAAATCCAAAATGTTACTATGTTCATTAAAAATACAAAATGAACAAACCATTTATTACAGATAAAATAGGAATGATTAGCAATAACATCTTTTACTTTAATTTTTAATTTTATTTCTTAATATAAAAATCTCTTATAAAAAAGATAGTATATTAATTTCTTAAAACATGCTATTAAATTAATATTCAAGTAAAAGAAATTAATATATATAAAAAAACACAAAAGTCAAAAACAAAATAAATAAATACATATATTGATTTATTGCGATTAGGAGAGGTTGACATGACTTTATCGGGTATGCAATTAAGAAATAGTGATAGACAGCCGAGGAATATTTAAAACTTTATTTTTAAAATTATGTAATAATTTTTTAATTAATAATATTATGGTCATCACTTACTTTGGGTGTGTTTGTTTGGAGATTTGGATTTTGAGTTGGGATTTGAATAGTAAAATTTTGAATTTGAATAGTTGTATGATGTGATATAAATAGGTGTTGATGTGATGTTTTGAATGTAAAATTGATTTTTAGTATAATATAAAAAATGAAAAATAGGTGTTTGATTTGATGTTTTTGGGGGAAAAAAATTGGATGAATAGTAAAAGAAAAATCCAATCCCTCAAACAAACACACCCATTGATCCTCAGTGCCACTTTTTTTTTTTATTTTTTTTTTTTCGGTTTCATATAATTTATGATTTTATTTTTTAAAAATATAATTATACATTTTAATCAAATTTTAAAATTTATAATTTATACTCCATTCGTTCTAAAATTAAATATTCATTTGCTTTTTACACGTAGTTTTAAAAATATTAGTATTATATTGGAATATAGTAGGAATAAAGTAGAAACGACTAAAATAACCTTATTAGTATATGTAATATAAAGGTAATGACATTTGTGTAATATATTATAAGTTGTAAGGGTATTTGTAACTGTAGGTAGAAAGTTCAGTTGCTAAAAAAGGAAATAGATACTTTATTATGGACAGACTAAAATGGATACTTTATTATGGGACGGAGGGAGTACTTTTTTTACTTTAATTAAACTAGGTAGTCATTTTAATCTTAATTTATAATTATTTTTATTAAATCATAATTATTTTTACTAATATATATTTTTTAATTATTTAATAATTATACAAAACCTAAAATTCTGTGTTTAAACTAAATAAGACAAAATAGGTGGGACGGAGGGACTATTAATTTAGAATAACAAACTACTCAATAGTTCTGTTTGCCATTTTTGTCCATCCTAAAATAATAATATCTTCGTAAATAATCATATCACTATAAAACTACCATTATTTTTTTTTTATTATTACACAATTGTCACTACTTTTTATATTAATACACTTAAAAAAAAAATCTTTTATTCATATTTTTTACCTACTACCAATATAATATCAATATTTTTTAAATCTAGCATAAAATATAATCCAAACTATAATTTTAGGACAGAGAATAGTAAAAATAAAATCTGAAAAACAATACTACTAAACATGATATTTTATACATAAATAAATATAAAAACTAACAATTTAAATAGTAAACAACTCCGTAAAATAATGTGATGCTTTTTCTAATAAAATATGCTTTCCACGAGACATTTTTAAGTAAATACTTGATCGGTCGTGCAAATATGTGTTCATTTGATTATACACAAGTTTTAATAAAAATGAATAATAATTATTATTTTTTTATTTTATAATAAAAAATATAAAAATATAATAATTTTTTAATTAAAAAAGGAACAATATACATATTTTTTTTTTTAATTAAATGATGGATGAAATAATATTTTATGATAAAAAATAATATTTAGTATATTATTATTAAAAAATATAAAAACATTACTCTAATTTTAAATACAGATGAAAACACAGCAAAGCAATTGCAAAGGTTGCTTAATGCCTGTGCATACACGAAAATGAAACAACATATAAATTGAAATATGGGCTGATCCGGATGTAGAACCGGCCCAATTTACAGCCGGGTTAAAATTGCACTAAAACGACGACGTTTTGGAATGATAGCGCCGAAAAAGGTAAAAATTTTCCGTTGCCGGGACTTGAACCCGGGTCTCTCGGGTGAGAGCCGAGTATCCTAACCAACTAGACTACAACGGATCACGCTATTATTGCAATTTTTAAATTGTTTATCCATAATAATATATGAACGACACCGTTTTGAAGTAAAACCAAAATATTCCGTTGCCGGGACTTGAACCCGGGTCTCTCGGGTGAGAGCCGAGTATCCTAACCAACTAGACTACAACGGATCACGCTTTTATTACAATCCATTAAGATCTTATCCTATACTATTCGAGACGACACCGTTTTGACATTAAACAAAAAGATTCCGTTGCCGGGACTCGAACCCGGGTCTCTCGGGTGAGATCCGAGTATCCTAACCATCTAGACTACAACGGAATTAATGATGTAGTTAAATAGTTACAATAACTACTAAAGCATCATTACAGTGAAAATAGGGCCGTGGTTTATTGATACGAATATAGTACTGTAATTATTTATTTATTTTAATTACTAGAAAGTTTATGTCGTCCCATAAAATAAATATATATTTTCATAAGAAATATTGAATCCAATCGCAATTTTACCTAAAAGAACAAAAATCAAAACTTACAAAAACAAAATGAACAAAACCCTATTTATCGTATTATAGGACGAATGTGATTACTAAATAATTAATAATATATTATTAAAATAAATTATAATTAAGATTAAAATAATTAATTAATTTAATAAAAATTAAAAAATTTAAAATAGGACTAAAATGTAAAATACTTTTCTAAAAATAAAAAGGTAATATAAAAGATAGGAGTGAACGAAAATATAAAATGTGAGTTGATATGTGGTACGGAGGGATTAATATATTATATAACAATTTAAACAACAATAATAGTAATGTTTTCTCTAACATAACATCGTATTCTAACGACTGTCCAAACAAAAAATTAAACTTTAACTCCCAAAAAAAAATGAAATAAAAAAAAAAGCTCATCCAAAGCTCTTGCAAATTGCAATGCCAAATAATAAGGTTAGAGGAACCTACTTTCAACACTCCAAAATCCGCAGGAAGTAAATGAACAGAGAAGAACTTACTATCATCACAGTGAAGCTTGGCCATTTAAACAACAATAATAGTAATATATTTTTTAATCTTAATTTTGGAGCGTGGGAATTCATTTGTATCTGATCTGCCATGCAACTTCCCTGCTGTTGATCTTTGCATTGAAGCATCAATCAGTGTGGCAATTGCCGGCAGGTTGGGCAATACCACTTTCCTTTGAATCTTGTCTCAGGAGTGAGGCCGACGCAAGTATAGTGAAACCATTCGCCGCCTTGGCACTGCAAACAAAAAGAAAGACGGAAAAAATGATCGATTAGGAATTGATGAGACAAATATAAAGCTGAAAAGGGCCACAGATTAGATGTAAATGGTGCACAGCTTGAAAGCGAGTCGAAATGGAATTACATTTTCATTGTCGCAAGCAATCATATCACCAAAAGAAACCTGTAAGATGAGAAAGTAACCTTTAAAAATTATTCATAGCTTAAGCGAAAACAAAGATGAAAAACTTGGTGGTCATTTCCATGGAAAACAATCTATGGGAGCCAGGACCTGATGGCAAACACAGTAAGTAGGTTCGTTTGGATCGATGGGTTGATCGAGTTCAACAGGTGGAGCAAAGTCTTTCCTGATAGTGCCCGGAGGAGGCATAAGATCAAAATCTCTCTCACGCTCCCTCTCCCAATCTCTATCCCTGAAATCAGGCCTTTTGAATTGCGGTGTAATGTATGGTAGTTTATGTTTTTCACTTTTAGGGACTAAAGGTAACGGTGGAAGCATGGTTGGCTCGTCTGGTGATATTTTTCCTTCTGCAAGAAATAGGAAATAAAATTCTAATAGGAAAAACACGATCATAGTTCATAGGAAATAAAATCGATGCCAGCCATCCAAAACATAGCTTGCTAAATTTTCAGGGTGTAGGAAAATAAAATCTTGCTATATAAAATAGCCAAATTCTAACAAGTAACTTAACAAATCTTAAAATTAGAACACCTTGTTTGAGATCATCTGCGAAGTTGTTCAAATCCTCGTCTAGTCGTCTTATGTGACTGTCAATCTGAAGAAACATGGCAAAGGTACAGAATTGATTAGGTTCCAAAACATGATACAAGAACTATAATGCTATTACAATCTCAATCAAGCAAGTGAAGCAACTAAATTACGCTCTAATCAAGTGTAAAAGACAAACTATGTGTTCGTGGAGCTCTTCTCCCCTTGCCAAGTCCGCACAATAAAGATAATACCAATACAACAGCATCATATTTCAACGCCTCAAGTTTAAATTTCTTATTGATAATTTCAATGATACTAAGCATATGAAAATTTTTCTGAGCTAAAACTAGAAACTTTTCGTTCAGCAGATGCTCACGAATCACAATGCCACTACTATTAAAAATAAAGTGCAATCTTAAAAAATTTAAACTCAAGTAACAAAACAAAAGTCAACTGGAATTGTGTTCAAGAACATTACGAGGTCATGAGCTTGTCGGGCCAACAGAACCTTCTCGGTGCAAAGGCTTAGTGCATTGTCCTGGTTCGCCTCAATTTCCCTTCTAATCTTTTCAAACAGATCTTCCTCTTCATTTTTCCTAGAGAATGGCCCTCCTTGAGATGCCAATCCCAGGCAGTACTTTGTTTGCTGTCTTGTCTGGTTTATCATTGCTTCATTGGAATCATATATAGACAGAAATAGCTTGTCATAATTGCACAATGTCTATGAAAAAGATACAACATAGAAAATTTGGGAAACCTTGTGAACGTTCATCCAGTTCTCTAATGGTGTTCAGAAGCCTTTGAAGCTCCGCCGGCAACGTACTTGAATCTTTTACAATAAAACATCACTATCCACCATTAGATTTCAATCACCAAACATTGTGATTTTTGCTGCATAGATCAACATCAATAGAGGCAAAACAACAACTCACATTCCAAATAGTCGTCAACAAAGACGCCAGTTCTTGCAATTGCCATCTATTGCTTGCTTGATTTGCTATGATTTCTTCCTGCGCAAGAAATGGATGGCATAGGGTAAGATCTAGCCTTGCAAAACAAAATCACAAATAATCAACAGCTCAAATGGTTCCAAAAAGATCATAGCAACAATTGAAGCTTCGCAAGCGTTTCGAGGCACGTCAACCAATACAAAAATGATAACAAATTCAGAGCAGACAATTTTAATTTCCATGATTCTTCACACAAACCGTGCCGATTAAATTAAACCCTAAACCCTAATTCCAAATCAAACCAGGTGCAAACAATTGCACATCTTAACAAGTGCAACGAAGAAATACAATTTACAATAAAGGTAACGACAAGGAGATTGCAAAAGCTACCTGGGTATGGCGACGGTGGATGGCCGGGGGTTTTGAAAATTGTAGGGAAAAACGGGAGTAGCTCAGCTAGTTGCTCGAGCGTTGCTATTTTCCAAAACTTTCGATTTCGCGTCAGACTATTTTAAACGGTTCGGTTCTGATCTGTGAATTAGTCAAACCGCCAACCTCTGGTTCAAAACCGGTAGTAATTTGTTTATATTAATTGTGAAAATTATATTAAATAATGTAAATAATAGTAATATTTTTAATTATATACACCTCGGGCTCATATCAAATACCTATTTTACCAAGTTTCATCATTTCACTTTAGAATATTAATTTTTTATTTTAATAAAAATAATCATAAATTAATCTAAAAAAATATCCTTAATTTTTATTTAATTATAAACATATCTACTTTTTACTTACTATAAAATCCAAAAGACCCTTTGGACGGCAGTATGCTACCTTGTCCAATTCTAAAGTCACGTTCATACAAAAATTATAAAAATACTTTTTAATGTGATGAAGAAAAATATATATTATATGAGGGTTTATTATTCTTTTAATTTGAAAATTTGTACTATTCTTTTAATTTATTATTTTTTTTTAAATATCAAATTTGAATATGTATTTTTTATTTTATATTATTTTGTCATGTCTCATTTCAATTGTCTTATTTTTTTTAATTTTTAGTCCGTCTCACTTCAATTGATATATTTCTATTTTTGATAAAATTTACTAAATATGAAACTAAAGTGTTGCTCTAAATCAAAACTATTGTGTATTTACTTTTTTATTCTCTTAGACCATTTCCAGTAGTAGCTAAAGTAAAAATGCAATTGATTTAGAGTAATTTTATTCCAACCATAAACTTCAGTTTTTCACTCTAAAAAGTATATTCCATATATATTTCGCTTTTATATTATTTTACATAACTTTTTATATTTATAAATTACACCTTAACTTTAATTTATTTTTACAATATAACCCAAATATATATAATTACACATTATTTTTAAAAAACTATATAATTATATATCACTTTTTGAAAAAAATAAAATTATATATTATTTTTTTATTATATCACTTTTCAAAAAATAAAATTATACATAATTTTTTTAAAAAATAAAATTACACAATATATTCCAAAAAAATAATAAAAATACACAAATATCACAAAACACCACACAAACTCCACTCCATACAGTATTACTCCAAATATGGAGTAACACTGTAGTAGGCTGCAAAAATAGGGGGAATTTGGAGGTAGATTGGAGCCCCTCCCCCATTTATGCACAACCCACTGCATTTATAAATGTAGTCGGTTGGAGTTGCCCTTAAAAAAATTCTTTGGTTGTAGAAAGAGACCATATATATAATTATCATTGTCCTTGCTCTTAATATTTTGATTTGAGATATTCTTCTAGTTGACTATTGTGTATTAATTTTTAATTTTTTTTTTATAAAAGTATAATATATTTTATATAAATTAGAAATCGTGTGGGACAAAAAATTTATTGGGAAAACAATCTCACACATTTTTCATAGCCAGGATTATGATCATTTATCACAATAACATCACAGTACTCACTGTACATTAACTCATACAACATGCTCATCCTCGTGTTCTAAGTTCAATGGAACAAACAAAAACAGAACACAACAGAATAGCTTCTCTTTTCTCTCTCACTCAAGTTTATTTATCATCAGATCAACTACCATACATCCCTCTTGGTTCCTCTGCTATTATTTTTCGATACTTGGTCGATTTTCAGACAGGCGTGCAAGGAGAACAGCCAGGATCATGAAGATGACACCAATCTGCATTAAGAAATTTAACAAGAATTCTTACTTAATTAGTTAACTCTTCTATGGTATGCCGTGCTACTTTGCAAATGGTATCAGTGGTTCGCCGCGGAGGTTATAAAAAACTAACCATGGCTGCCCTGTATCGGGGCTTAGTCTCGATAATGTAAGATCTCCTGGACAAGAACAAAGTCTGTCTTCAGTTTGATATGCACATGTGCAGGATTATGACATACATCTATACATATATATATGCTAACCTTTTGGTTAAGGTTCCGGAGTTGCAACAGATTTTCAAGATCGTTTCCAGCTTGTCCTTTGTCGCCTGTGCATAAGGATCGGTGTCGTCAACCTATACATTTTGCGAAAGCCAATGTTAAGTGACGAGAAGATGAGCATTTATTAAATTACATACTTAAGATTCAGATGAAGAAAATTCACACACATTTGATTGTACAAAGCTATTTTGTTACATGCAACAGCGTATCATGTCATACCTTTGATTGTAGTACTAGGGAGAAGTTGTAGAAAGCCCCATACACATCCAACATTGATTTAGTTCGATCGATAACTTTTGCAGCAAGACCTTTGTCCAAGAGAAAAAACATAGCAGAAGCAATGAGCATACCCCTCTTCATTCATAAGGCATATATGAAATAGAATAGTTCAAGATGTAATAATGTGCTGGAAATAATGCAATAATATCATCAAGCAATGAATTCGAATCATTTAGAACGATCATCATCTAACCCCGTCGCATTTTCACAACGCCTCTAAAGACTTGAATGTTGTTGTAGCACAGTGCTAATGTTCCAATTCCTATGATCTGAAAAGATTAGAAAAATAAGGCAAAATGCACCATCCAATGCAACATGGAATGCACTAAAAACATGGTCCATTGATGTAGTAAAATTAAAATATCATGTTGAACAAGATCCAGAAAGAAATCACTACATGTTTAAGAGAATGTAAGAAGACTATGATCTACGAAGCAGTCGATAACTTGTATTGGCGCTTACATCCATTTTCTAATGCCCCTTTAATCCAAATCTTAGTTATATCTTTTAGGTTCGATGATCAATAATGTAGATGGATCTGATGAATAGATTTCATAAGTTTGTCACTAAAAAATCAGTAGTGGTTACAAAAAGCTTATCTACCTCCAGAATTGCATAAAAACGAAAGATACTTGAGTTTCTCAAAGTAGGCAAGTAATTCAGGCAATCTTCAACATGGATTAAAGCATTTGTAACCATATCATTCAGACACTGCACTGCCTTGACTGAATTTTCCTCATCTTTCAAGTCCTAACAGGACAAAGCAAAACAAAAGGTCAATATAACAAAAAGGTTGTGTTTATGCATGAGATGGAAAGAATTAATTACCTCCAGTTAATTAACATATTTATTCCAAATTTCACGAGGCCAGAACATGCGTGATTTTGGTATCTCGTTAATATCCTCATGAAAATCTCGGATTATATCCATTTTCTGAAATTGATAAGAAGAAATGAGAACAAGTCTCGGAATTTCAGAAACCCGAAATAATAAATAATAAAGTGGTTCCTGAAATAAGAAACCCATTGAGTTGGACAGAGCATCTGAAGCCAGATCTTCCTTACCAGTGGCATGGAACAGCTTGGACAAACCCAGTACAACAAGTCCAGACACGTAATGGCAATATTCATCATAATCATCAATTGTTTCAACCTGGAATAGAACATATACACCTGATTGATTATATGTAATAAATTCTATATATGTTATATCTAATGGCAGAAATAATAGAAATGTTGAACTACAGTGTTTGGATATATTGAGGATAGATTACTCACAAAGAAGAAATAATCAATCCAAATGCAGACAAATAATTTGACATCTAGGTTGAACATGTGATGAAGCTGCCAAGAAAGTAAACTGTGTATTTTTCAAAATACCTCTTTGCAGATAAATTTTGCCATTCATGCGCCCATTCTCATGGTAATATCCTCGATTACCTCCTGATGACTGCAAATGAATTTGGAATATCACAAATGCACAGAACCTACTCATCCAAGTAACTAAATGCTGGTCAAAATTTTATATGTAAGATTGGAATGTTTGTTTGTTTAAGATGTGCTCTTTAGAAAACTCATTTCACCATCCACACACACATTCTTTCATAATAATTTCTTCACAACAAAACACACCACCAAATTAAAACCTGCACCTCTTCAAATGATTCATTTATTACTTGCTTAATAAAAATAGGATAAACTGTTTTTCGTATATGATCTCTTTGTCATTTTATAATTTTAAATGAACTATGCCTCCTAAATAAATTTTTTTTGCTAATATGTTCTTCCGATGTCGGATTCGCCACATTGGTCTGCTGTTGTTGATGTGGCGCTAACGGGACTGACGTGTCATCGCCACGTTAGTGATATGTCGGAACATCATTTTAGCAAAACATTTTTTACTTGGGAACTTCAAACATTGTCCATTTAAAGTAAAAAAATGACAAAGAAGGTAAATATACAAAATTAGAAAACAATTTACCAAGATATTTTGTATAAAAAAAATAAATGTATTGCTGATGTAGCATCTACGTGGCGTTGACATGTCAGTTACGTCAGCAACGGCGGCCAGCGTGACAAATCCGGCGCCGGATGACTGTTGTAGCAAATTTTTTTTACTTGTAGGATTATTTTCAAACAGAATTCATTTAAAGTTCTAAAATGATAAAATAAGTCGTAAAAACAATTTACACTAAAAAATATTGCCAACAATGTGATTTGTAATTCAATGTTATTAACACAACTACTCATTATGAATACTTGCTACAAAGCTCTAAAAAAGCAGTTGAAACATGGTGAAACTCATCCATGAGAACTTTACAGTCCTTTGTTCCACCTGTCTAAGGAAAAATTTAAATCATGTTAAAGAATATAACCAAAATAGTTGCAAGGCATCCACAGTCAGTTTTATGCTTTATGACTAAAAAGCATAGAAATAGTTCCAGGAGGGGTTCAAATTATTACAGGCGTAGCATAGAATTTTAACCTCAATCGCTATACTTGTATCATCCTCTGCAAATAAATAGGAGAAAGAAAAAAAAAAAAAAAGTAAAAGAAAACACATCAATTGTTATGATGTAAAATGAAACATCAGATTACTATATTTTTGACTAATGCATATAATTTTCTTTTCAGACCAGTTCTTGGGGGTGTAACAATAGGGGCATAGTAGAAACACAAGAATGTAGGTACATCATATTAGTAAAGATCTAAGATAATTGCAATCCCATCATCCACCGTATCATAAAGGGGTTAAGGAATAGGAAATTATTAATCGACTTCACCAAGAAAAGTGACG